ACACACACACACACACACACAAACGCAAACACACTGCCAGGCTAAGCATCATTTGTTTATTTTGAGTCAGCACCGGCGGAGACAGTGGCAACACGATAAAAAGCCGTGTTTACATCCAATTTCAATTCAAATTTTGACCAAATTTTTTAAATTTTGCAAAAAGGAAAAAACGAAGAAATGTGATCAGACATGTTTCCATCAACTAGCTTGAAGCAAATCAGTTATGTCAGACGCAGGCATGTAGTAAACAGGAAGTAAAAATTGCATCTCAGGACAATGGAGAGAAGTTATCAGGAACGCGTTGCTACTATCGGGAAAGTTGTAATTATTCTGTCGTATCAGCTAGTTCTGGCAATTTTACATGCTGTCTGGAGACAGAAAAAAATGCAATTCTCTTCATGTTATGGGAATAACTGAAGACGCCGACAGCAGGAGGAGGGTCCTGCAGCGAGTCGCGGCTGCAGTCGCTCTGGTACTGGTCCAGTACCATTCAGACAGTCGGAACAGCTGATCAACCATGTGAGGTAAAGGTTCGCTACGTCAGAACTTATTCGACAAATGTGTTTCCATCTCTCCTTCTCTCTTCTCTCTATTAACTCTTTTTCAAAAAACCCAAAAGCTACCTCAAGCGAGCGTATCAACTTTTATGCGAATTAGAGGAAGTTTTTACGAATCATGCCGTTTCCATCCACCTTTTCTGATGTGATACTTCAAAACGCGCATTAAAAAACGTTGATGGAAACACGGCTAGTGGCTTGGAACTAGTTTTATCAATGTATCGCTACCAACCCCATTACCAGCATTAAAAACGTTACTGCTACACAACCAGCCAATCCTATCGCCAGCAGTGGTGGGCAGKGCTAATCCAAAAATTAGCTCCGCAATTTCTAAAGCGCTTATGAAAATATTTATGTACGCAACTTCAAAAGTGCTTATACCTTAGAAAAATAGCAGAAGCTAATTTTAAAGCGCAAGTTCAATTTGACACTTTCTAGCTGGCAACAATTCATGTACAATATATGCACAACACTGCCAACTAGCGGTGTATGAATCTTTGTATAGCTTAATCCTACAAGCGCCGATTGCTGGAGATGTGATTTCCTGAAACAGACCTTTGGTTCTTGGTGTAAAAATTAAAAAGTTGTTGAGGATTGCTAGTTCAGCTGATTCTTTAAAAAGTTGTTGAGGATTGCTAGTTCGGCTGCCTCTTTGTCTTTTTATTTTGTTTGTTGTAGATTTTTCATTAAAGAAGCATCAATAAAGAAATTTTAAAAATGTTTATTGGAAAACTTAGGTGATGCATTCTGGGTACATGACAGATTTGATTTGTGATGGGAAACGAAAGCACGGAGTTCAGGAAACTATCTTCCCCTCAAAATAAGAGCTTGGATATTAAAGTTTTTCATGTAGTTGCTCCAGTTGACCACTAGATGTCTGTCTTCATCAGCAATGACATCTTTAAACCATTTCTGAGTCTCTAACCCCGTTGGCCGATTACTTCAACCAATTACATCAAGTATTGAGCTCCAGCGTTTAAATTTTTTTTAAAGGAGCTCCGATTGTAAAGTAAAATAAATCAATACATACAAAATTTTAATATGGTTTACAAATGTTAATTGTTTTTGCTATTGCCTTCCTGCTACGTAAGCAGACACAAAGCATTGTGAGAAATCAGAACCGTGGCTGAAAGCAACAGTCAGTGAGGATATATACCTTCTCAATATGTGTGTTTATCTGGGAAGGGTGCTATTGGGCAGATCATGTGCGTTGTGATTCAATGACAGCCATACCTTCAACTGTTCAAGATAATGATGAATGGTAGATAATTAATTAGCGGTACTGCATTTTAATTTTAGAAAGCGCAAATCCGCTTATGAATTATAAAAATTWGTAAGACTGCTAAAGCACAAAAGAAATATTTAGGTCCGCAATTRGTGAATTTGCACTTTAGCGGGCTGGTGCCCACCACTGATCGCCACTCGCCAGGCTTAGCAAGTATTCTGGGGAAACCCTGAACTTGTATGAAATTTTTAAGATTGGAGTTATTTTAAGAATACAGCAATCCTCTTCAGTCTTAGCTTCACTTTGACTAGATACAGTATTAGCTTCTCAATCAGTCAGAACTAAACTATTTCTCCAAARTGAGGTTGTTCAAAGATCTARCTACAAGTAAATTGACTGTTCATAAAATTTCTACGGAACTGTATTTCAAAAACTGATCACTTTAAGCTCAAATTTATCATTTTAAGTTAAAACCCAACTGTCATATAATAAATACTGTAGCTTATGGTAATTCTAAATATGCAGTAAAATATCATTTATTATAATTTGGAAAGGCACACAGCGCAACTTCATGCAATCCAAATACCTTTGTCTCAGCGAGCCAGCGGTGTGGATCTCTCACTAATCCAGGTCTCTGGGAGATGGCCTGTTAGAACAGAATAGAAATAAATGCAAATGTGTGCAGTCCTGCCTTTGTTAGTATGCATTACATAATTCTGCTCACACAGAGAGGTTTTAACATGAGAGTGTGATTCTGATTCGTTTAAATTGGAATATAAATGTACAGTAAGTTTAAAAATAAACAACGAATATGTGGATGGACAAACAACAGGATGGAAATGAGAACATAAAACTGCCACCAGTCAAAAACCCTCAACTTTGGAAGAAAGCAGCTCCTGCCGACTTAAATTGGCGTGCATGTGTTTGACACAAGATGTGACGCTACACACACTGGTACGTGCACACACCTTCACGCAGAGGTGGTGTGAGTCATAAAAATGAGCTCAGGGACTGTGTTGTTTCTTCTCCWGACGAGCTTGACAGCCTCGGTCATGCAAACTGAGTGCAAACACTTAATGACTGCTGACACGCACAGTCACACAAAACCACACTGTTAACACAAAGAGATACACATTTCAGCACGACTCCAGGTCTACATGGCACTAATCTGAAAGTCTACCTCAGTCAATGGTGTGCAGCTGCTGAGATGGGCTGGTTAAACAGGTGGACGTTTCAGGAAAGGTAAACGGTTCATGCAGTGTTTCATTACTTTTTTTTAACACTGCATTCATATGCATGACAAAACGAAATAAAACATAAAAAGTGCTTGACAGATTTTACCTTACAAAACTTTAAAATGCTTCTGTAGCCTTTAGGGCTTCCTGAAGGTTACACGATCCTCTTGGTATGAAATAATGCAATTAAAAAATTTTTTAAAATGTTTTTGCTTTGATGGGTTGCAAATATTTTGACTGAAATCAATAAATGTTTAATGATAAAAACAGACATTTGTTCATTTTTTTTACACATCATGATCTTCATGGGGGTTTGGCAGTTCTGCTGGGGGTGGGGTGGGTTCACCCTCCTTGGACAATGCTAGGGGAAACACTGGATATGTAAGGATAATGAGAAATAGTAACGTGTAAAATGTTTGGTTCAGAACTGCAAAACAATTTTGTTTTTAAATGCATTTAA